CCGTGTCCCTCTGGCTCTGACGCCCCCTCCGTGTCCCTGTGGCTCTGATGTCCCCTCCATGTCCCTGTGGCTCTGACGTCCCCTCCGTGTCCCTGTGGCTCTGACGTCCCCTCCGTGTCCCTGTGGCTCTGACGTCCCCTCCGTGTCCCTCTGGTTCTGACGTCCTCTCCGTGTCCCTCTGGTTCTGACGTCCCCTCTGTGTCCCTCTGGTTCTGACGTCCCCTCCGTGTCCCTGTGGTTCTGACGTCCCCTCCGTGTCCCTCTGGTTCTGACGTCCCCTCTGTGTCCCTCTGGTTCTGACGTCCTCTCCGTGTCCCTGTGGTTCTCTGTTGTTCTGACGTCCCCTCCGTGTCCCTCTGGCTCTGACGTCCCCTCCGTGTCCCTGTGGCTCTGATGTCCCCTCCGTGTCCCTGTGGTTCTGACGTCCTCTCTGTGTCCCTGTGGTTCTGATGTCCCCTCCATGTCCCTGTGGTTCTGATGTCGTCCCCTCCGTGTCCCTCTGGCTCTGATGTCCTCTCCGTGTCCCTGTGGTTCTCTGTGGTTCTGACGTCCCCTCCGTGTCCCTCTGGTTCTGACGTCCCCTCCGTGTCCCTGTGGCTCTGACGTTCCCTCCGTGTCCCTGTGGTTCTGACGTCCCCTCCGTGTCCCTCTGGTTCTGACGTCCCCTCCGTGTCCCTGTGGCTCTGACGTCCCCTCCGTGTCCCTGTGGCTCTGACGTCCCCTCCGTGTCCCTGTGGTTCTGACGTCCCCTCCGTGTCCCTGTGGTTCTGACGTCCCCTCCGTGTCCCTGTGGTTCTGACGTCCCCTCCGTGTCCCTGTGGTTTTGAAGTCCCCTCCGTGTCCCTGTGGTTCTAATGTCCCCTCCGTGTCCCTGTGGCTCTGATGTCCCCTCCATGTCCCTGTGGCTCTGATGTCCCCTCCGTGTCCCTGTGGTTCTGACGTCCCCTCCTTGTCCCTGTGGTTCTAATGTCTTCTCCGTGTCCTGCAGGTCGGCGTTCTTCGTGTTCTGCTCCGAGTACCGTCCCAGCGTGAAGCAGCAGTACCCGGGTCTGTCCATAGGGGACTGTGCTAAGAAGCTGGGGGAGATGTGGAGCAAACTGGTCCAGTCTGAGAAGCTGCCCTACGAGGAGAAGGCCCAGAAGCTGAGGGAGAAGTACGACCGGGTAAGACCAGAACCGCCCCACGGGTCAGAACCGCTCCCACGCACGCCGCTGATCCCTCTCACCCACAGGACATGGTGGCGTACCGCGGGGGAGGAACCTTCGCCAGGAACCCGGACGCTGCTGCCCAGGGGGCCGAGGAAGAGGAGGATGAGGAGGGAGAGGAGGATGAGGAGGAGGAGGAAGATGACGAGTAGAGAGGAAGAGGAGGGATGGTGTGTTTGAGAGGAACCAGT